GTTTGTGATTATGAAATAATATTGAGAGATAAATGTTGTGTATATACAAATATGAATTAAATACTATTTATTACTATAAATATGCCGCATATTGATCTTCTTCAATACAATGTACACGAACAAATTTCTATGTGAAATTAAGAGACGGAGTGCCGGATTTGTGCTAATTTGCAATTAGATTAAGTCGGATTAACTGGATCAATGTCCACGTGCACCGGACGTTGCTGGATTCGATAGTAGCACGATCGGAGGCTGGCTGTAGCAGCCAGCCAGTTTGCAGACAGCCAGACTCATTGGAATTTTAATCGGCGTGATCAAAGCGCACCGGCGACACTCGGCAGCCTAGAACAAACGCCAAACTCTTGTTTTTTCTCGCTTCATTTGCAGTGGTCGCCCAGTACTTTGAGGTTCAGGTTTACGATCAGTTCGCGATACGCGGCAACGCGGCTATTTTCAAGTGTCAAGTTCCCTCGTTCGTGGCCGACCACGTGGACGTGGTGGGATGGATCGATTCCAACGGCGGCAGCTACGTCGCCGACGCACAATCATATGGTAGTAAAAACTGAAGGGATGCAGTATGCACGCTGCTCACTGTGTATTGTGTTCCCCTTTATGAACTAGCAGATCGTAACTTTTGTTTCAATAGGGCGCAGATCACCGATCACCGGACGTGAGAACTGGTCGATCGACCGAGTTATTCAATATCTTGCATGCGCTTTCTACAATTTTCTCTTTTCCTTTTAATGATACCACGTATCATGTTTGTTTGGTTTAAGTGTGTGAAGTGTATAAGGCGCATGTAATATGATTAGATATCTTCCATATCGTTGCGATGCGCATCGATGTGCCACTTGTTTATTGAACGTATATAACGAATCGTAATGTTGTACATCGATCGCGTCTATTTCAAGACCGGTTGCGCGACCAGTTCTCTTTGACAGGAACATATTCTTCAGTTGCCATAGAGTAGAGTTTATTTTAATTCACAAAGAAAAGAGACGCGACGTTGACGTGAATAGAATTCCTGATTGTGATAGGCTCGTCTCACCGAGAGGAATTTATCGAGTCATTGAAAGCTGATGATTACGTTATGTACAAGTTTGAAAATAATGTTTGAATCGTTTGTTGAGTATCTGTTTTTATATAAATTCTAAAAGTTTATTATATGTTCAATTTTTATTATACAATAAAACTGAAGCATTTTTTTTTATTAAGTAAGGACGTATTACACGTATTTTTCAACAAAATGAAAAAATTATAAAAAAATTACAGATTTTTCTATATTGTATTTTAAATTAGTACAAAAAGGCGGCGGATTTAGAATCTGAAAAAATTATTTCGTCAAAAGGAGTAGATACGTTTTTAAAAAATAATTAAAATAAAATGAGAAAATGTTCACTTAAACTGTAACATTGTATTGTTAAATATAAATATTGATCTTATTGAATTGTTTTATATACATATATAACATTTATTTCTTTACGGAAAGTATAAATTTTCCATTCTAATCACTTTTTGCAGGAACTGGATATCTAATATATACTGTTAAAGCTGACTTATCCATGAAAATATTCTTAAAATTTTTGTAGTACGAGTTCTGCAATAATACCGAATGTATTCAAAGTGATTCGTCAAAGCTTATAATACATTTTTTCGATGACTATCTTCGAGCCAATACAAATATAGTATACAATATTTTCTTCTTTTCTTAGTATGAAATAACATAAATACTCACTTTAAATTAATAAAATTAACTCTTATTACTACCAATAATGAAACTTTTCTTCTTTCTTCACGGCTTATAAATTCTATTAAGATTTACTTGGAAATTACGTAATAAACTGCGTTTGTGTAATAAGCAGACAAACGAGATAGTTGAATAAGCTTATACATAAATACACAATTAAGTATTTTATTTATCATTTGTAACGCCTCATATATCATAACAAAATTAATTCATAATGAAATTAATGACGTAATTTCTATTATTATTTTTTACGTACAAATCGACGAAATCGTCAATTGTACGAAATAGATACGTACGTCGTAATCAATTGACGAATGATCGACACGTCCTGTCAGGTGGTAGATGTGCGCCTTATGGTAAAACCGGAAATCGGTGTCTGGTTGCAGTTGTCGGGCAGCGGTATGCAGTGAACGTGATGGACGAACACGTCCTTCGGGGGAACGCCGCAATTATCAAGTGTCACATACCGAGCTTCGTCGCCGAATTCGTCGAGGTTGACTCTTGGATCGAAGACGAGACCACTGATATATATCCTAGCGCCGATTACGGTACATACAGGGCGCAACATTTCATGTCATCTTCACTCTGCTCGAATATCGCGTGAATCTTCCATTTCTATGATACTTGCGATCCATCAAATTGGCGTATCATCTGGAAACTTATTACAAAAATAAACGCATAGAACGCAATAGGAATTATGTTCTATTTTTGTGTGTGTGTGTATATTATTCCATTGTCGAAGTTGTATGATTCGTGAGATAACATCTGTGCAGATTTTAGAATCAGTTTAGAAGCAGATTCTTCGACTAGTTTTTCTTATGATTTTTCATTTTTTTCTTTCTTTCCGATATATCTTGTATTTTGGTTAAAAAAACCTAATGCATTTTCTTTGCATTATTTGTTCTGAAAGAGCGATGCATTTCAAGCGTTCGGTAAATGTAGAATTACAGTGGTCGGCAAGCCATTAGTGTGCAGCAATGAGATCAAGGATTCTCTCATGACTGACGTCGTCTGACCATCGTTCGGTAATGATACTCCGTTTGACGATCGCTTTTGCATTCGAGCAAAAATTATCCTCGGCTCGACCGTGACAAATAAATAGTAATTAAAAACGTGCTGGTTTCAATCACGAGATCCCTAACTCGATACGTGCACAGTGACAATGGTTTTACACAAATTTTGACACAGGGAGGAAAAAAGAGAACGGCAGGAAAAGGGAATAAACTATTTCGCCAATACAAATTTATAGTTGTGCGAAATAACAAAACTACCAATCCAGGTCGTTTAAATCGTTCCATCGGCCTCCGCTCTATCGACCAAGTTCGAACCGATATCACCCGTGCGAAATACAAGATATACGTGTTCTCTTGTTTTGATGCCCCTCGTTTCAAAAATACCGTGTAATGTGGGATTTTACGTGGAAATTTGTACGACGTTGACTGCCGCTGCTCGCGCTGTTCCAGACCTCTCTTCCCCCTTTCCACCGATTTTTTTTCCGGTCGTTCGATTCGGCCCATCCGTCTCTTCTCACCTGTACCCTCCTCTCTGTGTGGTAGTAGCTAAATGGCTGTGGATAGCTTGTGTGTGTGTGTGTGTGTGATCGCATGAAACTAGTTCGCTTATCCAGGAAGTCTCGTTTGTCGATGAGATTTGGCCGCAAAAGCGATCAGATTTGTTAGAGGCGTTGGAGTTTCGCCTACAATGGAGATTAACTTTATGCATGCAAAATGGATTAACAGCAATTCGTTAGATCTCGTTTATTAAGATAATCTGTATCAAGTGATATTATATTTGCTAGAATCAATTTCGGAAATTTAATGATAAAGTCTTTACAAAATAATTTATTTATCTTGTATGTTTATAGTATTAATAAATACTGTAGATTTCGTACTTAAGATATCTTTTGTTCTCTTTACGGTTATTGTAATAGAAAAATATATAGATTTCCTGGATATTTCAACGAGCAAGAGGAATATTACGCATACATTTACATTCGTAAAGAGATAAAGATGTGATTTCGCATATAATATCTTTCTCATGAATCTGTAAGTGGACGCGAGATTCTCTTGCTGTTGTTTGACGAACGTGCTTTGATTCCATAAAGAATTCGCCGAATTGTCGAAGCGGGAAATTGAAGGGTCCGTGTTCATTCAGCGTTCGGCGAATTCGTATACTGCATGTAGACACAATACATTAAGTAAGAGCATTGTGCTTGAAGTATGGTACACAGAAAGAACAATTTTGCTGGAGCATATAAAAATTTAGTTAGATGTAAAAATAACTTTTTTATCTTATTAAAATAATTATGTAGGATGCTCAAGCATAATAAGCAAAACGTTTTGACATTCTAGCAACTATATATCTTGAGCGTCCTACATAAATATTTTAATGGTCCAATAAAATTATTTTAGCCTAGTAAATACTAAGAGTAACATCGACATTATAATTTCATACTCAACAATGTAAATGTAATATAACACGTATGTTACATATAACAGTTACATCGTTGAGTATGAAATTATAACATTGATATAATTTCTTATATTAACTGAAAAAATTACACTGAAAAAAATGCATGTAATTTTACATGAAAATTACATGTTCATGATTAGAAAATTGCCTAAATATGATTGGAAATTTACAATTTCAAGTAATTTTCCAAGCATATGCATGTAATTTTCATGTAAAATTACATGCATTTTTTTCAGTGTATTTTTTAATTATATATATTAATTATATATATATTATTATTATATATATTTTAATTATATATATTATTTTTTAGTTATATTACTGTCAGTTAATGTTTACTAGGTAGATCTGAAAATAATCTTTTCGGCTTATCAAAATAATTATATAGGACGCTCAAATGTTATGAGCAAAACATTTTGACATTCTAGCAAATCTTGGACGTTCTATATAATTATTTTGATGATCCAATAAAATTATTTTTAGATTAGTATCTAGCTGAATTTTTAGATACTTCAACGAAGCTATTCTTTCTGTGTAATATTATATCACTGTCATTCGAGCATCGTGCAATTAAGTCGGGATAATCGATTTCCTCTTGATATTAATAACATATGTGTGTTTGTAATTAATGGTGGTGATGTGTTCATAACTAATCAATTTAATAATATCGTATGACATCAAATAATAATAAAACGATAATTAGTCGATCGATTATCCCGACAAGTTACGTAAGGAGGACTAATGCTCAATAACTAACGTGTGCAACTTTGAACGGGTTTAGATGGAAAATATTTGGTGTTGCCATCCGGAGAGCTGCACATCAGGGACGTCGGACCCGAAGACGGATATAAGACTTACCAATGCCGCACGAAGCACAGGCTCACTGGTGAAACTAGGCTATCCGCAACGAAGGGACGTCTCGTCATTACTGGTGAGTGAAAACGCAGAAATGTCTCGTTCCTTTTGTACGGAAATTACGATTCTGATTCAGCATCACTCTCTTTGACAAATGTTTCTCGATCATCCTTCGATATAAGCGGAGGAGTACAGCTTCACTAATCAACATTCTGTATCTGTTTTTCTGAAAGAAATCAGAATCGTATTCTAATTTCGAACCTGGATGCCACAATTCACATTTTTTACTTTGTGGATCAATATAAGTATAGTTATTTGTGGCAATTAATTTATATAAACACGCATATTACGATTATGGAAGTTAATTAATTATAAAACCGTTGTTGCGTAATATATATAATTTGTTTATCTAAAAGCTTGTACCAATTGTTAATTATAAATTAATCCGATTAATATAAATATGGATTTAATGTTATAACAGATATAAAATATTTTCCCTTTTTCTTTCTTTTTAAATATCAATTTATAGGTACATCTCTTTCAATTTAACATAAATTTTGAAACGTAAATTTTTGAATGCCGTTATTATTAGCTACTTATTTCTCTTATTCTGAGGTGTCTGGGTTCGAAATTATTATCCAAAAGATTATTGATTTTCCAAAAATAAATATACACGAAACTAATATTTTAAGTAATTAGTGTAATCTTTCAAATTAATTTTTAAATTACTATTATTGTTGTGCAAGACATTGAATTTCTTAGGAAAATCAGTTGTCTTTTTGGGTATATTGTCACGTTCTACGAATGTGCAATCGTTTGCGCCAACGAGCTTGATCGATGATTTCATGTTTGGTTCCTTCGAAAACGCGAAGGACTGTTAGGAGAAATCATTCGATATTTTTATATCACGAACTTTACCTTCGAATTTATTATCTTAGAAAAACCGAAATACATGTTCGGCATTTAGCGCGGTCAAGCTCGAGGGTGAACCTGAATGCTGGGACAGGGTACCCCTGCGGGCACGCGCCACCGCCCGCCCAAAACTCGACTCTTGATATGATCGATTTCGAGAGGAAATGTCCAAAGACAAATGAATGATAAAAAAAGAAACAAATGACTTGTGCGAAATTCTTTTGAAATGCTTTGCGGCGCGCCTTCCGCGATCTCCGGGCTCTGTCCTTCGCTCTCGCGTGGTAAGTTTACGGAACATGTTCTTTCAGCCGAGAACTTCACTGTGTGGATGCTGCACATAGCTTTATAGATGTAGTACTCAACGCAGCTGAGCTTCGTTTTGTGCTGTAAATTAAGCGGAATCGATCGTATAATTAGGCGGCGTCGTCTTTGTTTGCTCTTGCAGTAAATGAGCAGGAACATTGGAGCCGTTAAGTGCGACAATGATATTAGCCATAATTTTCCTATTTTGAAAAGAATTCTTTTCAATCATGTTCTATCTTGTTAATTTTTATGAAAAACTGAAATTTTATATCAAGCTGAAACGCATTAAATTGTTAGACTTTTGTTTTCTATTCTTTTTAATTCTTAACTTGTATTACTACTTCATTCAATGACTTATCGCGTAATGCAGGTAGTCCAGAGTTAAGAAATCCTCTTAGACATACTGCGACGAATTCACCGTATCACAATGCGACATTGAGCGCGAAACCACTTTCGCTTCGCCATCGCTTTCATTTCACGTAGCCGTTGAGTATTTACACTGATCGGCAGGATGACACCGATAAACGAATTGCTTTGTTCGTATGAGCGGTGCAATAGCGTAGGCAAAGCTGTCGAGCCACGTCGACGCGATGCAATAATCTAGGGGCTACTATAACTAGAGCAAGACGCAATATAGCCATAATGACAATGATTAGCGACACGAGCAGGGGGCTTGACAAGTATACGGCTCTACTGGCTTTTCGTTACGCAGAACCTGTGGGCAGTGTACGACCAAAGTTTCCTACGATGGACAACATAAATGGACTTTCTGTGGGCTTGGAAGGCAATATACCGCTTCTGTGCCCTGCCCAAGGATTTCCAGTACCGTCTCATAGGTACGATACTCTTGATCAGAGCAGAGATTAACTCTCGATTGGAAACTAAAGGAACATATAAAGTAGCTGGCAGTATGGTTTAATAATAATGATAGTTTCCTTTATCTGTTAAATTATAACGGACAATAATTTATAAAATGACAGGAAATAAAATTTCAGAGCATAAAAACTTGTACCAATATTGCTATAATGTTACAATGTTACTGCAATATTACTGAAACGTTGCAAATGTTATTGCAATATTGTTGGAACGTGTGATCTGTGTTGTATGAGATTGTAAAAGTAATTAATAAAGATGGAAGTAACAGGCGTGCGAATTATTACCCATGCAATACAGATCATTTCAGCAATATTATAGCAATATTGCAACGTTCCAGCATTAATGTAGTATCATTGGAAATGTTACAGCAATGTTTCGGCAAGCATCTATGCTGTAGGATAATTTTATTTGTTCAGAAACGATGAAATTATATGGTGAGGAAAAGATAGTCTATTTTTTGTTAGCTAAAATTTAAATATACTTATTTAGATTTCAATTTGACAGTCTTTTATCGCTATTTAAAATCAGATGTTTTATTATTTATAACGTATGGAAATCAACTTGAAAATTATCTTAGAGAAATAACAGAATTTTTGTAACAAACGCGAATCTCAACTTTTATCAGACAATACCAATAACCTTTATTGTTACGCCATTATTTAACAAATCATTGTATCGTGTATGTGTATGTGTGCACAGGGGTTCCCCGTTCCTTCTCATTGATCTAGTTAAAGCATTTAGTGTCATCATTCTTGAAGGTACTCGCGTAAATTCATATACGATCACGACGTTGAGTCAATTTATCGTTTATTTTTCCGCAAGGACGATTCTTGATTCGCATCAAAATTACAAGCGAGTTGAAAGAATGAGAAAAAACAAAAATGACGTGCATTTTAGAACCAGTGGGCAGCGTGCGCCCAAAAATTCCGTCGACGGACGACGTGCGCGGTTTCCGGACTCTCGTCGGAAACTCCCTTGCCTTGATGTGCCCGGCACAGGGGTTCCCCGTTCCCCTGTACAGGTAGAAACCACAACATCGCCACTACGAGCGAACGCGAATCCTTCGGGATGACCGTTCGTCGCGGGCACGCAAGTCTCCAATTATAAACGATATGATCAGAGCCGATTGGCAGTGTGAGACCCAAGTTCCCAACGATCGACGACTCCAGGAGTTTTCGCACGACAAAGGATGGCTCGGTCACGTTGCTGTGCCCTGCTCAGGGATTCCCTGTCCCCTTGTACAAGTAAGTCGTACTAGGCGAAGTCGTATGTATTTTTCTTTCTTTCTCTTTTCGTCTTGGGTTTCATAACCTATCGCAGAGCCTGTGGGAAGCGTACGTCCAAAGTTCCCCAGCGTCAGCAATATAAACGGCCTCATCACGTCTACGAACGGAACTTTGCCGCTCCTGTGCCCTGCTCAGGGCTTCCCAGTCCCTTCATATAGGTATATACATTATCGAGTGCCTTGATGTCATTCCGCTCTTAAAGCGAGTCTCACGTTGATTCTTCATTAAGAAATTGCGATTAAATATTTGGTGCCTGCAGTGAAACTGCTGGGTAATTAGCAATGACGGTACACTTGACATTGCGGTGGTCCTCTCATGTCATATAACTAATTTCTTTAGCGTGGTCTCAATTTTATAGATATTAATATACTCTAATGGAAAGTTCTAACGCTGTATTCATCTTCGAGAATTAGAACTTTTTAATGGAAGATCTTGCTTTCTAAGGATTTTCGGGGTCGCTAAATTTTGATGCCAGAATTATAAAGTTACAATTTAAAAAAATAATATGATTATCATAAAACTCGGTTTTAGAAGACTTTTGATATCTCTAAGTTTAAGTGTATGAAAATATTCAAATGTAGTAATGAAAATTTCAAAAGTGTAGTAATCATCTAAACTCTCTTATATAAAGAAGAAGTGTTAGAGGGCTCAAATAGTTGGAAAATTTGTGTTAAATTTAACATTTAACTTTTGTATTAATTTTACAATCTGTATATATTAGAAAGTAACACAAATATGTATAAAAATTAACATAAAAAAATGTAATATCGACGCAATTTGTAAGCAAACTGTGAAAGCATATTTATTCGTAAAATTAATATTTATCATATGTTAAATTAACATATTTTATACGTATTTTATTCATTTATCTTAGAATTTACGTTTTAAAATACATCGTTTTTATGTTATTTCACTTACTCATAAATTGTATTATTTTGATAGTAATGATATTATATTAATTTAACATAATATATTCAATTAAATTACGTTATATTAAATTAATGCTAGGATATGTTAAAAATTCAACACAAAAAATTAACCAGGATTTAAATGGACCGGATTTAAATGAACCAGTTTTAATGCAAATACAAAATGTTTTTTAATATGCATAATCAGAGTTTAAAAGTCAATTTGGAAAGCAATAATATTTGTTTATGTAGCACTGATGAGCTTCAAATAAAACAAAACTGATGTTATGTTTGGAAACTTGATGTTATTTCGTAATTAAAAATTTTCTAAAATCAAGTTTTATGATAATTTAATAATTTTTTGGAAATTCTGTCCCTATATTGAATCCTCCATTTACAACTTTTTATTTTTGATCTCAGATTTGAATGAAGCATTATCAAATTGCTTCACAGAAGGTGAGGCTAAAGTTTCATAATAATAATTGAGCGAGCAGTTTATACAATAAAATAAAAGGTAAGCGACTTCAAATGGCGTCACCGGTTTACAAAGAGTTAAAAATTTCATTTTATGATTCTGTAATTTCATACATTTTAATATTCATTCTTTGTAAGATAAAATTGCGCTATGTTGCGTTTTTATGGTGAAAATTTGCAAGATACAGATTTAGCTCGAGCTTCAGGGGTTCCCCGTCCTCCTGCATATAAACGATATTTCAGCTAGCGGTAATACTGTGTACGTACGATTCAATAATGTTTAGAGCCGGTTGGCAGTGTGAAACCGAAATTCCCGA